AGATAAGCCAGGAGAGTAAAACTCACAAACTTCATAATATACACAGACTACTACTCACTACTCACTATCACTGTTTAGGATTTCTGTAAAAGGCTGTTGTTGTACATAAATCTCGGGAGAGACTAGATAAACAATCTTTCGAGCAAAAAAAAAAGATTGCGTAGGAGAGAGAAAGAGAAGACATGGTTGATTTTATTGCTATATAGCAAAGCCAAAGCCAACTAAAAAATAAATAGTGTGAGAGCTATGAGAGAGAGGATAATGGAGGGGTGTTCTAATAGCACTTCTTGTATGATGCTTTTGGAGACAACAGTAATGGACTATGCCTATGATGATGATGCCTCTCATGACTTCTTCTCATCAACATCATCACCACCATCACCATCACCATCATCCTGATGCAGCTCAAATACCCTATTTCTTCCCTTGCCATACACCAACAATCAAACTCAAAACCGCATCTCATTAGTGGCTCTTCTTCACTCATTCTTGACGATAACAACAACACAAACACAGGCTGTATTTCAGGGAGACTAACGATGGCACCTCTTCTTTTCTTCTACCTCAGTCAAGGCTAAGATCATGCTCACCTCACTACCCACCGTTTTGGCTGCTTATGCCAACTGTCAGAAGGTTAAGAATACTTTTTTTACTCAAAATACCTAACTTGAAACATCCACTACCTCAAAACATTCTCTCTCGCACACACATTCACATCTTGGACTAATTCAAGTATCATAACTACTTCAATGACTGGAAACGACAGATATTTCATGTTGCTTCAAATTTTAATACAAATATGCAAGTCTTCATTCCGGTAGTCATATGTTTGTTGTTACTTTTCTTTGTGAATATTTATGTTCCGAGACAAAGAGAGGTCAAACCTTTTGAGTATTATGATGAGACATGATCTAGTCTTATTTTATTTTTTTCAACTTTTTCTTTATAGCAAAGATCATTATTTTCTGATGAAAGGGAACAAACAAACAGGTGGGAGCTCCACCTGAAGTGGTGGCAAGACTAGAAGAAGCTTGCGCATCTGCGGCATCAATTGGCCACTGGCACGGCCTCTCTGGTGAAGATCCAGCCCTCGATCAGTTCATGGAGGCCTACTGCGAGTGCTGACCAAGTATGAACAAGAACTCTCTAAACCCTTCAAAGAAGCCATGCTTTTCCTCCAAAGGGTCGAGTGTCAATTCAAAGCTCTCACTTTTTCTTCTTCTTCAATTCTGGTGATAATATCTCTCTCTTCTCTCTTCCATTGTTAGACTTCCAGCAGCCTTGAGTTTGGCTAATTATTGAACCTTTTTTTTTCTTATAAAATAATTAGTCATGCATGTCTGTTTAATTCTCCAAGATCATCTGTTTTTCTTCCTAAAGTGCGTTACCTAGTTTTGCTCTCATTTAACTCTTCCTGTGCTGTGAATGCTTCTTCTTTTGCTTTGTTTTAATTTTTTGCTATGTATTTTTACTGGTATGCAACTGTTTTAGATGCCAGGGTACCCATAACGACGATTGTATTAAAACTTCACTACCCAAAATGGAGAGTGGTACATATTCCTGCTTTATTCTTCTCGGTGTTGTGTGTTTTCAAGGGTTATCTTATTATTTTCTTGTGAATTTCTTTCTTCATATTCTTAGATATTGACAAATATTTTGTACCCTTTTCACGATACAAGAAAAATTGCTTTCCACTACTATCCCTAGCTATTTAATGCAACTATGGTGTGGAGGATGGATTTCAATATTCATTTATTTTATTCTCTTGAAAATAGTGTATCTCCTCAATTCGGGGTCACTGAAGAAAAACATTTTTCAAGGCCAGTAAATATAAAAAGGTTTGGAGTGGTAAGAGGTCTAATGTGATTTGACGCTAATAAAGTTTGGACGGCATACATATGATTATGCTTAGAACTTGATGAAAGGTTGAGGTGGCTAATTAAAGAGCTATTTCATGATATTGCTGAACTTGAGTGTTCAAATTATGGAGCATGGGCACCAAAACATATTCGCATGAGGTTTATATGCAAGTGTGGAGACACATGGATCGTTCCGAGGAATTGGACTAACTGGAATGAGATTTGAGATTTGAAAGAAAGAGCTCATTCTTTAATCAAGTCATAAGCTTATACTTCTCATAGAGTTTTTGTGTTGGTAACCAAGAACAGCGGGAAAAATCTAAAATATAGCTCGTTTGATGCCATTATAGTTAATCAGCACTTTAAATCTCATTGTATTAAAGCCCACTATTCTTGCCTTGCATGATGTTAGGGCTTATTAAGTACATGGTATTTTGATGATTCTCAATAACTTCTTAATTCATATCTAAAAACGATTGTTTTAGGTTATAAATAGTAATATGGGAACTGGGAGTGATTTTGAAGTGAGACATTATTTTTTAGCTATTTTATAAAATGTTAAAAGCTCTTATTTTTGTCTAGTGAGTTTTCTATATATTATAAATATGTAGTGCCAATATTCTCTATTGTTGCTGCTACATGTATCCTTCATCTACAATTTTCAGGACTTTGGTGCCTCCTTTAGGCGATTCCTTGAGTACTGCATAAATTGTTTAACCGATCCGACAGTTAATTTGTCAAGAAAACTTTTGTTCTTTCTACATATCCACAGATTATGTATCAATGTGTTGCAGTCGGTGAGGTACATGTTGTGATCAAACTTATTATAAGTATTTCAAACAATGTATTTTTGTTAATCAATCAGCTATGTGTTGTTTGTTGGTTGAATCATCATTTTATTCAATTTTGGTATCATTCTTCTTCCATTTGAGTCTATCCTAATTAATTTCTTTTACTGCAAAGTGCATGGATGTTTAGAAAGTCTGTTTATTTTGAGCAAACCATTCTAGGTTTCAATGAAAGAAAAGATACTGAAGATCATAAACAGTCTAAGACGTTTTACGATCGATAACTGAATTGATCTATCTTGTCATCAATTTTGGAAAATGGTCTTTTACAAAACTCTATATCTATTCAGGGCTTCTTTTAAAACAGTGCCATGCTATCATATGAACAATGGTTCTGTGTATTTCTTACAGCTTCAATCTGGTAATTTCTTCTTGTAAGCCTATGTCTTGGGCATGACAAGGATTAAGGATTGGATATGCAAATCTCAACTAATATATACAAAATATTTATACTTAGGTTGTGGTTCATATACCGTGTTGCGGTGCAATGATAGAAAGTAAGATACACCTTATATTAATCATATATTGAGCCTTTTTCCAGCTTATTTTGGACTACATGATGACAGATAAAAGCAATCCTACCCGATTGAGGTGTTATAATTTCTCTATATTTTATTGGGGTTGGAGACCAAAGGGTAATATGTGGGTCAAAAGGTCCGTTTTTGCTGCAAAAAGAGACTTATGAGATATATGCTTATGCCTTTACCAATTAGGGATTTAAGTGGAGTCCTTAATGCAGTATGCTTTAGTTATCATCATATATCTAATCAATCGTTTTTCTTGTATTAGTTAATATCTTCATCATGTCTAGGCGCATTCTTTAATAGCTGTATAAATTTATTGTGATAGCTATATTCCTTTTATAGAAGACTCCCATACCTCACCCTACCTAAACATCACGTTGACACTGTAATATGGACATCCATATGACTCTACTTACTTGGTAAGAATATGCTTAAATGTTTCAGTTAGTTCCAAAAACACCTTTCCTTGTACAGGTTAGTGGATGTGATGCCATCGGTCTAATAACATAAATGAGTAAGATATTCAATTAAGTATTTCAAAGAGTATTCAAGATCTTATGTCAGACTCTGCTGAAAACCATTTGTGTTAATATATGCTTTTTCGTTATAAAGGTATGTCATGACTTTGTATACTCGGTAGTCAATTATGCTAGATTTTAATGCTTTTTTGTAGTTTTGCGGAATTCCGGAAGCAGTACGAGGCAAAAACTTACAAATATTATGTTAATCATGCATGTTTAATACTTCAATTAACACTTAGTTCTGAATCGACTAAGTACAAGTACAATAACTGCTGAAGAGCAGCAAAGGAGGAAACAAAGGAGCAAATAATATAGAAAATTTAGAAACACAATTCTCTAAAATGATTATCTCCATTTTGGGGCTTGTTGATTTAATGGATTACTTGTGTAGCTGTTTGATTCAAACAGATTTTTGGGATGCATCTCTATGGCCGATCATGTAAATTATTATATCTTAACAAGCATATCTGATCCTAGTTGAGAAATCTGTTGATAATTTTATCATTATTATGAGCTAATTTTATGCTGCTTCATGCTGACTCAGCTCGTACGAGGCTATTGATAGGAATGTTCACTGAGGAAGAGTTTGATGTGAATAATGATCCTTCATAGATCCCCAAGCAGAAGACAGGAACTGAAAGGTCAGCTTCTACGCAGGTACAGCGGATACTTAGGTAGTCTCAAACAGGAGTTCATGAAGAAGAGGAAAAAAGGAAGCTGCCTAAAGAAGCCAGACAACAATTGCTCGATTGGTGGAGCAGACATTACAAATGGCCTTACCCATCGGTATCTATATCTACCTTGCTTCTTGTTCATCATAAGGGCCTTCTTCTGTTTCCTTTGAATGTGCTGAAGAGTAGAACATTAATGCTTGCTAGTTGTCTATTGTAACGTTTTGTATGGTGTCTGACAGATCTTTCACCTTCATTTGATTTTCATCTGTTATTTCCCCTCTCAAAGGAAGAGCCTTTTCTTATGAGATCATTTAGCTCCATTCAGGAGTCTACTGGCAGCCATGAACTTAATTAGACCAGTCATCTGCTACGTGCCTGACCGGTGTCCCTTAGTCAAGTACAATGGGTGACATATTTAGCATTTTCTGTGTCAACAAAGCAGCGTTACTATCTACTCCTTACCCAGCTTGAATGGAGTGGTCTTTGTTTAGCTGCACAAGATTTATATTTGTCTGTGATTAATCAATACTTCTAAATCATTCTGTGTAATAATGATCGACCTTTACATGTGACAGAATCACAGAAGCTGGCCCTAGCAGAGTCAACGGTCTGGATCAGAAGCAAATAAACAACTGGTTTATCAATCAAAGGAAAGACATTGGAAGCCGTCTGAAGATATGCAGTTTGTGTAATGGATGCCCCTCACTCTCCTATACATGGAAAATGTTATGGGCAACCAATTTCCAATGATCTCTCTCCGCACTGCTTTGAACAAGCTGATCATCTGATGCTCATCTTACTATTAATTATATTGTGTTTATGCGTATTTATTATTATAAACCCAATGCTATATATGATGGCAAATGATGTAATCTTATCATATGCATACGGCTGCAAGTAGCATGCATTGGATACTATTTGATATAAATTCGACTGCTAAATTAAATTAGTTAGCTTGTTCATAATCTTTCCTCTTTTTTGGATAGTAGAATGTAGAGAGCTTAAAACTGGTGTTGACAAAGTTAGCTTGTTCATGGTTCAAGGTTTTGCATAGAGTACTAAAGCTATCCCATGATAACTTTATAACAACTACGTGCTTTTCATTGTTGAAGCCTCCTTATATTGTTGAATAGTCTTTTCACTACTCTTGGAATGATGAAACGGTCATTGTTGATGCTTTTTGGTTTGCCATAGTTTGAAGTACTTCATCTTGATGGTGACCATGTTTCATGAGCATCATGTATTAATGTGGCAGCATGTAAATGGAAAGCCCTTTATCTGGATGCCTTTCTGCTCTGTAACCTCAAAGCCGTGAAATGAGGATTCGAGATGTCACATTTGGTTGGCTCTATAGCTAATTTGTTTTTTTTTTTTTTTTTTTTTTTTATGATTGGGGGTGTTTAAGCCAATTTACGTATATCTCAACTAATCTTTCAGGACTCTGAAAGTTTGAAACTACTGTTTAGGTGAAGAGTTTCAATATCCTCAACTAATTCTTAAGATCCTAAACTATCGGTTGGGTAAAAGTTTTGGTAGTTATCCCTATTAGAGGTCGTGAGGATTCAAACTTGAGAGATCATGTTAGATCAATCTTTGCTCTTTTATCATTAAGAAGACTTGAACTTAGGTGATCATAGTAGATCTTCATTTTACTCTTTTACTAATAGGCTACCCAGTGGTGGTTAAATATTAAATATAATGTTCTATAGCTAATTGCAAACAAAACACATGTCCACCAATCTTATAAATAGATGGACATATAATTAATCATAAAACTTTTTCTTTAACTAATGACATGTATTCGTCTTATAATTAGTTGGACACATCATACATAATTAAACATGTATTATGATATGTATTCATCAATGTTTTAATAACCAATTCGGGGTGAAACCCGACAAAGTTGCTGGGTCCTAGGTTGACCGGTTTGATTGATCAGTCAAATCAGGTTTCAAAAAGTTTAAACTTTAGAAAACACACCCCAAATACAAATCGAAGGTCGACTTGTTAGCGGCAGCGACACACCAAATGCAATCCAAATCTACCCAAAATCTGGATGAAATCAGTTCAATTTCGATCAAATCTCACCACTGTGGGCGTCGAACACCTAGGCCAGATCTCACCACTATCAGCGTCGACAACCCTCTCCATCACCACAAAAATACTCTCCTCAACCTCCTGACCAAAACCAATCTCACCCCAGCCCCGTTCACCTCGCCAATTGCCGGCAAAAGCTGGCTGTGGTCGCTGCTATCAATTTTTTTTTTCAATTTTTGGTCATTTTACTCACCGAAAATCACTTCCATTGCCACCATTGCACGCACCCCGCACTTCTTCTTCAAAAGCCCTAACATCTCGGCCTTCAATTGTTTGCCGATCATCATCCCAAATTCTAGAGTTTTTTATTAATAGGAAAATTGGTAACTCGGCTCGATGAAGGCCCCGGGTCCTAATTGAACTAACTGGGTTGGGCTAGGTTTTAAAACACTTGTATTCATCTTATAATAAGTTTGACACATATCATACATGAGTAGATGATCTATTGTCACCCGTTTAATATACTAACGACTCCATTTTTTGATAAATTTTATAATGACAAAGTTATCCTCATATTAAATTATTAAAAATAATTTTAATTTCTTATTCTTTACAAATAACGTTGGCACCCGACTATCCCTAATTTTTTTTAGGTTACTCAAATCATCCGTAAAACAAAAAAAAAAAAAAAAAAAAGTTTAATGGAGAAAGAATATTTGCAATGATATATATTGGGTTACAAGTAACAAAAAAATTAAGTTTTTAATTGCTTCATAGTTAAATTTTTTTTTTATTTTTTTCTTATGTATTGGTAGCTATATTAATTTATATATGTATTTTTTGTGTTGTTTAACTATATTTTGTTTTTGGATTATTTATAAAGAATTTTAATTTTTTCTGAACTTTCAACTTAAGTATCTAAAAAATTATTTTAGGAATAACGATAGTGGAGATATATAATATAAGTGAAAAGGAATGAAATGTTAAATCTTTTAAAATATAAAAAAGAAATAGAATGAAAGGTATTTATGAAATTTATGGGGTGTCTTAAGAAAAAATAATAATTTTTTAACTTTAAAAAATGTGATTTATTTCATCAATTAATAGGTGGCAGTAAAGCCACTCATGTTGTCAAGATAGAAGCAGGACATTGGACTGTCTTACCTTTGCACAACATGGGCTTAACAGTACACCAGTCACTAGCCCAGTAGGCCCCAAATTTTAAAACCTGCGCTGGCTCCCATGGGCCCAAAAAGAAAATGAATTTAACCATTTTCTTCGTATAATAATCATAGAGTGATTTAATTAAATAGCCTAAGATCAATAAAAATGAATTTAGAGCTGCATTCAAGCTGATCCGAGTTGAGTAATGAGAAGCTTAAGCTCGACCCGATTGAAATAGTCAAAGCTCAAGCTCGAGCTCAACCCAGCTTCAATTGTCGAACTCGAGTTCAATAAATACATGATCAACTCGATTACAACCAAGTCAAAATCGAGCTCAAGTTCAACTTGGTTGTAATCATTAATTATTTTAACTTATATATAAGACTAAAACATTATATAACATTTGTTAATGATTTTAATTTTTATATATATATAATTAAAATATTATATAATATATCAAGCTCGAATAAGCTTGTGAAGTGCTCGAGTCGATTAATAGCAGACGGATCTATCTACTCCTTTACCCAGCTTGTAATGGAGTGGTCTTTGTTTAGCTGCACAAGATTTATATTTGCCTGTGATTAATCAATACTTCTATAATCATTCTGTGTATATAATGATCGACCTTTACATGTGACAGGAATCACAGAAGCTGGCCCTAGCAGAGTCAACTGGTCTGGATCAGAAGCAAATAAACAACTGGTTTATCAATCAAAGGAAACGACATTGGAAGCCGTCTGAAGATATGCAGTTTGTGGTAATGGATGCTCCTCACTCTCACTATTACATGGAAAATGTTATGGGCAACCAATTTCCAATGGATCTCTCTCCTGCACTGCTTTGAACAAGCTGATCATCTGATGCTCATCTTACTTATTAATTATATTGTGTTATAGCGTATTTATTATATATAAACCCAATGCTATATATGATGGCAAATGATGTAATCTTATCATATGCATACGGCTGCAAGTATGCATGCATTTGGATACTGTTTGATATAAATTCAGACTGCTAAATTAAATTAGTTAGCTTGTTCATAATCTTTCCTCTTTTTTGGATAGTAGAATGTAGAGAGCTTAAAACTGGTGTTTGACAAAGTTAGCTTGTTCATAATGGTTCAAGGTTTTGCATAAAGCAATCTAAAGCTATCCCATGATAACTTTATAACAACAATACGTGCTTTTCATTGTTGAAGCCTCCTTATATATTGTTGAAATAGCTTTTCTACTACTCTTGGAATGATGAAACGGTCATTGTTGATGCTTTTTGGTTTGCCATATGTTTGAAGTACTTCATCTTGATGGTGACCATGTTTCATGAGCATCATGTATTAATGTGGCAGCATGTAAATGGAAAGCCCTTTATCTGGATGCCTTTCTGCTCTATGTAACCTCAAAGCCGTGAAATGAGGATTCGAGATGTCATACATTTGGTTGGCTCTATCGCTAATTTGTTTGTTTGTTTGTTTGTTTGTTTGTTTATTTGTTCTTTTAATGTTTAGGGATGTTCAGACCAATTTACATATACTTTAACTAATTTCTCAGAATACTGAAACTATCGGTTAGGTAAGAGTTTCAACGGTCCTCAACTAATCTCTTAGGATCCTAAAACTATCGGTCAGATAAAAGTTTTAATAGCTACCCCTATCAGTGGTCGTGAGGATTCGAACTCGAAAGACCATGTTGGATCAATCTCTTGCTCTTTTACTATCAAGAAGACTCGAACTTAGGAGATTATATTAGATCCTTTTTTACTCTTTTACTAATAGGCTATCCAGTGGTGGTTAAATATTAGATATAATGTTCTATAGCTAATTGCAAACAAAAGATACATGTCCACCAATCTTATAAACAGATGGACATATAATTAGTCATAGAACGTTTCTTTAACTAATGACATGTATTCGTCTTATAATTAGTTGGACATATCATACATAATTAAACATGTATTATGATATGTATTCATCAATGTTTTAATAACCAATTCGAAGTGAAACCTGACAAAGTTGCTAGGTCCTAGGTTGATCGGTTTGATCGATCAGTCAAATCAAGTTTCAAAAAGTTTAAACTTTAGAAAACACACTCCAAATACAAATCGGAGGTCGACTTGTTGGCGGCAACGACACATCAAATCCAATCCAAATATACCCAAGATTTAGTCGAAATCGGTTCAATTTCGACAAAATCTCACCATCGCAGGCATCGAACACCTAGGCTAGATTTCACTATTGTCGGCATTGACAACTCTCTCCATCACCTTTCTAATTGCCGACAAATGCTAACTATTATTGCCATTGCCCATTTTTTTTCAATTTTCGGTCGTTTTACTCATCGGAAATCACTTCCATTGCCATCATTGCACTCACCAGCACTTCCTCTTCAAAAACCCCAACATCTCGGCCTTCAATTGTTTACTGATCATCATCTCGACCTTCAATTGTTTGTCGATCATCATCCCGACCTTCAATTATTTGTCGATCATCATCCCAAATTCTAGGGTTTTTTATGAATAAGAAAATTGGTAACTCAGCTCGGTGAAGGCCTTGGGTCCCGATTGAACTGACTCGGCCGGGCTAGGTTTTAAAACATTTGTATTCATCTTATAATAAGTTTGACGCATATCATACATGAGTAGATGATCTATTGTAAACCTAATAATATACTAACTGCTCCATTTTTTAATAAATTTTATAATGACAAAGTTATCCTCATATTAAATTATTAAAAATAATTTTAATTTCTTATTCTTTACTAATACCACTGGCACCCAGCTATTATCTAATAAACCCTAATTTTTTTTAGGTTGCTCAAATCATCCGTATAAAAAAAAAAAAAAAAAAAAAAAAAACGTTTAATGGAGAAAGAAGATTTGCAATGATATATATTGGGTTACAAGTAATAAACAAATTTAAGTTTTTAATTGCTTCACAATTAATTTTTTTGTTATTTTTTTCTTCTATATTGGTAGCTATATTAATTTATATATGTATTTTTTGCGTTGTTTAACTATATTTTGTTTTTGGATTATTCATAAAGAATTTTTTAGCTTTAATTTTTTCTGAACTTTCAACTTAATTATCTAAAAATTTATTTTAGGAATAACGATAGTGAAGGAGATATATAATATAAGTGAAAAGGAATTAAATGTTAAATATTTTAAAATATAAAAAATAAATGGAATGAAAGGTATTTATGGGATATCTTAAGAAAAGAAAAATAATTTTTTTAACTTTAAAATATGTGATTTATTTAATCTATTAATAGGTGGCAATAAAGCCACTCATGTTGTCAAGATAGAAGCAGGACATTGGACTGTCTTACCTTGCACAGATTGGGCTTAACAGTACACCAGTCACTAGGCCAGTAGGCCCCAAATTTTAAAACCTGCGCTGGCCCCATGGGCCCAAAACGAAAATGAATTTAACCATTTTCTTCGTACAATAATCATAGAGTAATTTAATTAAATAGCCTAAGATCAATAAAAATGAATTTAGGGCTGCAATCAAGCTGATCCGAGTTGGGTATTGAGAAGCTTAAGCTCGGCTCTATTGAAATAGTCAAAGCTCAAGTTCGAGCTCGATCGAGCTTCAATTGTCAAACTCGAGTTCGATAGATACATGATCAACTCGATTACAACCGAGTCAAAATCAAACTCAAGTTCAACTAGATTGTAATCATTAATTATTTTAACTTATATATAAGATTAAAACATTATATAACATTTGTTAATGATTTTAATTTATATATATATAATTAAAATATTATATAATATGTCGAGCTTGAATAAGCTTATGAACTGCCCGAGTCGATTAATAATAAACTCAAATTCACCTTAATTTAATATGTGAGTTACTCGACAGCTCGCAACCGACTCTACTCGTCTGTCGGCTTAGCTTAAAAATGACCTTTTAGTAAAATTTTGAAAGACTAACCTAAAATGGCCTTTCTTTCCAATTAGGGTATAACCATGAGCATTTAAAATGTTACATTTACAAACTCTAAATTACATATTATTAGTCTTTTATACCAATTAACGAGACATTATTTTTTAATATCACGTTATTCAATTTTAATTTATATGGGTTAGATTTAAAAAGTCAAGGGTTTTGGGTTATTTTTTAATACTAAGAGGGTTTTACTTTTGGGTTAGTTTTTTCAGAGAGGGGTTTTGGCTTAGTTCGTTCGCCTCACTGTCTACTTCACTGAAATCATCTCTCCGCCGGAGAGACAATCAACGGCCAGATTTCGATCACGGCATCAACGACACCGCGCACCACCCCCGTTTTCTTCTCTTTTGTTAATATAGAATCTAGTTGAGTGTTCTTTATTACATATCAATTAAAAGCTTGGGAGTTTCCATGGCGCTGTCAGTTTCTCGAAGGCTTTTACGTCGTTTAGGCTCTTTTTCCGCGTTTAGTCGCTGTGAGTCTCCGAGTTTCGCCAATCATTCCTCTCCAACACCCCGTGGTAAAATATTTTTGTTTAATTATTCTTCATCTGGATTATGAAATTGCATCATTTATGACTTCGTAAATCTTTTTATTTCTACGTTTTTCTTACAGATTCTTATGGCGTTCTATCTGGGGATAACTCATTTGCTACAAAGGTAACTTTTTTTCAGCTAAAGTTTTTATTTTTGGGTCTAATTTATGGAGATTAACGAGTTAAGTTGTTGCTTGTTGTGGAGTCTCATTGTGTTTGCTTTATATATCATGCTTATATTTCTCAAGTTTTCTTGGTGTTTTTTTTTTTTTGGGTGATTGTATTATGAACAAACCCATTATTGTTGTTCTTGAATGCAGGGTGGTTCATGTTTACTTGCTTGCCGAAAGCTTTCGACTACTATTTTGACTCCTGACTCAAGTGACGGTGCTTTTCCCTCTGATCTCCTGTCCAAGAAGACTGTGCTAACACCGGATCGTACCATAGGTATGAGAATAATGTTAGAATATAGTTGTATGATTTAAAGGTGCTGTATTGCTTGAGGGAAATTGTGAATGCTGTTGAAACTTGCCAAGTGGATATTAGTTACTTGGTTGATTCCTAATTGTTACGATCGATATTAGCTTAAAGTGTTTATAACCTAAAAAACTAAAAAGCATTTATGTAATTGAGGTACCTGAAAGCTTGTAAATTAGTGTAGTCTCTCATTAGCTATGGATATGAAATGTGACAATTACAAGACTTAATTCTCTCACTAATATCATTGTATAGCATAAGGTTTTGTGCATTCAGATTGTACGATTACAATACAATGGAAGATGTGATTCTAGAGACGTTTAGGCCAGCCAATTCATCTAATTATCATCAAGCATTAAATTGTGAATTGGGTAAGGTTGGCTAAACTTAATAAAAAGTGAGGTTGCTCAAGTTGGACACAAAAGTCAAGTCCATTAGCATAGGAAAATGAGGATTTCTGATGTGGCAAGAATGTTCTAGTTGAAAATGTATTTTATTGATGAATATGATTAGAATACATTTTAACTGGCATTCTTCCTTAAATGGTGCATAAGACCTTGGAGGAAATTTTGAAAAGTTTGTTACATGTACTAATTCTGAGGACATGCTTTTTGTGCAATGTTTTCCTTATTAACTAGGCCACTCTTGCCACATTAGCAATGCTCCTTCTCCTATGCTAATGGACTGGATGCTTAGGTCCTACTTTAGCAATCGCAATTCTTACTACATTTATCCAATCTTTACCCAATTCATGGTAGGCCTAGTCTTTTTCTCCAATATCGCCCGTACTCATAAGTTTTTGTGCATTTGAATTGTATGATTACAGCGTAGTGGAAGTTGCGTATCTAGAGATCCTTAGGCCACCCAATTCAACAAGTCTTCATCAACCATCGAAGATTACTTAATGAATTTTGTTGCATCCACTGAGAGTTATTGAGAAATGGAAAAGTAACATGACAGGTGCAGCCAGCAAAGTTCATTAAGCTTTTTTTTTTTTAATCATTGATGGTTATTTCATGAAGTGGGTAGCCTAGTAGTTTGGGCCTCTATAATTACAACTCTCATTGCATTGTATTGTACAGTCCAAAAGAATGAAAATTTAGACTATTTCCTTTCTCTTGTGATCTCAATTTTCTTACACATTTTGTTATTAGGATCGTAAAGTGTGAGCTTGCACTTGGAATGATAACCAGCACTACCAACAGTTCTTTCACTGTTTCTGTCCAGATTAGATTTGATAGTTATATTGGGATGCTTGTTCTTAAAACTGTAACCAGCACTGTCAAGATTAGATCTAATAGTTATGTCTTGAATAATTGAAGTCCTCTATATGATATAGTGGATTCTCCTACTAACCATGTTTTGCCTTTTTCAGTTACAATGATAATGTAGCTATGTTTTTTTTTTTCCCAAATTCCAATAAATTTTAACATTTTTTTCATTAGGCTCGTGTGACTCAAAGGACACTTCTCTAATGTTTATTGATTTAAAGAGATATGTTGTGATTTGTTATCTTTTATCTTTCATTCTATTGTTTATGGTGTCATAGTTTTTGAATGTGTGAAATATCAATGTATTTAGATTAGATGTTATGCATTAAATGTTTAATTCATGGAATGTATCATGATGCAGGACTTTGTCAGGATCTGGTAATTCCAGTGACAAATTTTCTTAATGAAGACAAGGGCTTCATGGTCTTGGCCGGTGATGTTTTTGATGTGCCTATCAGGAAGGACATTATTCATCGTGTAGTACGATGGCAGCTAGCAAAAAGACAACAGGTAGTGCTTAATCGATGTTGAGATACCCGAAGCATTTAATTAGTGAGCGCTAATGGTGGAAAAAAATAATGTATGCATTCAGGGAAAAGGAACTATAATTTTCTAATCAATATTGTGTGAGCTATACAAGAGATGCTTTTTGCAATTGGATACTCAAAGAGTATTACATCTTTCTGTTTTCTCCTTGATTTTACATAAACTTTTTCTAGTGCAGTATTGTCATTCTTCTTTAAATTAGGGAATGGTGAGGATAAGGGTGTCAGAAATGTATGTAGATAGTATGTGGTCAATCGCAAATTTAAGTTGTCGAGAGTTAATCTAGAATAAGTAAATGGTATAATTTACTGATCAAGTGTTTACCAGGGAACACATTCAACAAAAACTATTAGTGAGGTCAGTGGAACAGGGAGAAAGCCATGGAACCAAAAGGGTACTGGTCGAGCTAGGCATGGAACATTGCGTGGTCCCCAGGTAATGCATTTTCATGCTTGAATGATGAGTTTTTTTTACTTTAAAATTTTTGGGGCTACTGTATCAGTGGGATGTATACCTCTGGACCTTAATGATATTTATGGATGGGTAACAGTTTAGGGGTGGTGCTATCATGCATGGCCCTAAGCCGCGAAGCCATGCTATTAAGCTGAACAAAAAGGTGCGGCGTCTAGGATTGAAGATTGCTCTGTCCGCTCGAGCTGCAGAAGGCAAGGCAAGTCTCTGTCTTTCAATCATGCACATGGGTGCACACGTTAACACACAGACAGTTGGATAGATTCAATTGCTAGCTTATACTGATTTCTATGATCTGGAATGTTTTCTGGAGTAGGGTGTTGTCATGAACCACTTTTAATTTTGTTTTTGCCTATTGTACTTTATATAGAGGAGTCTTTCGGCTGAGGAAGAGTGAAAAATAGATGGCATTGCATTAGACTCATACTTAAAATTTAGTGCATTTTCACTCCTTGATGAGAGTTCACTGTTATATTCTAACTTGAGTACTCAAACTACAATTATACCCCACCCCATGCTCTGTATTTTATTGTCTCTATTCTTTGTGTGTGTGTTTATACTCAAACACGCTGTGTTTTGCTTGTGGTGTTCTGTCATTACTTATTTCTTGGCCATAACTTCTGCTATGCTCTCCATTTCTTTCTTTTGCTTGTATTGCCTTTGGTTCTAATTGATTTATGAAACCTAACTAGGATATGTTGCACTAATGAACAGCTTATGGTTTTTGAGGATTTGGAGGTTCCGACACATAAAACCAAGAATATTGTGAATTATTACAAGCAAATGGAAAGTACGAAGAAAGTTTTGCTAGTTGATGGTGGCCCCATCAATGAAAAGCTGAAGTTGGCTACCCAAAATATACATTATGTCAACGTACTTCCCTCAATTGTAAGTTACATATTCTGATCCTTATGCTGAGTTCTTTTTTATGTGGTCTGGAAGTGGAGGATTGATAAGTTGACCTCACTTTGAGCTTGAATTAAGCTCATACAGGCGGTTTGGCGTGTTATTGGCCCCATATATTTGGCAAATAACTTGATGGGTGATGGCCTTCTTTTGTGATATGATCAAATATAACAATCTTCTTCTGTATCATTGGACTTTTGAAGGGTTCTCTTATTCCCATAGAATTTTTGTTGTCGCTAAGATGTGTTGTCAGATTTTATTACATTAACTCTAATTAGGTCTCTTTTTTTACTTACGAAGTGGTTCCTAATTTTATCTGAAAATGTTAATCATTTTGAATTCAGGTAGAAAATTTTAGTAGAATCAACCCCACAATTCAAAACTAATATATTTATAAAAGGTTCACAGCATTTTATCTTCAAAAAATATTTGGATTAGGAATATGTTTCCAAATATGTTTTCTTTATTGATTTTGCATCCAAAATTCTCCCTGCCACAAGACTTCTCGAATCCTAAATTTTTCTTATGCTCTGGCATTATGTTCTTGAATTAACTATTCTGGTAGTTGATTTCCATTTCAAATCTTAAGCTTGTTTCATATGCAGGGATTGAATGTCTACAGCATTCTGCTGCATGACACATTGGTAATGTCGCGCGATGCTGTGAACAAGATAGTTGAGCGGATGCACACTCCAATTAATCGTTGATTCAGAAAAGAAATCATCATTTATTTTCGAAGGAACAGAATAATTTGTTTATCTGTCATTTTGGTTAAAATATCCACATCTCTAGCAGGATATAACCATTTCATTGTATCAGTTTTCTTGTGCCTTGAGGCTTCATCCTTGAATTTTGTAGTTAAATTCAGTTGAATCCCAAACATGAAATGCCATATCATAGAATTTACCTTCATCCATGTTCTTCAATGAAAAGGATTTATGGCTTTCAGAATTTTCCTCTTCATATGTTTTCAGAATTCTGATCCAGGTAAATTGAACCTGATCTATGGCTTGTCTTCTCAATTATTGTGAAAACTTAGCCTTGGACTTTGAGAATAACTTCACAGTGTTCTGTTACATCATGTTGCCACCTTTGTATTCATGAGTCATGACTACTCAATTCACATAATTTTTGTCAACACAGATGTGATGTATACAGTATACACAATAAGATCATTAAATTTCATAGTATGAAACTCATTATTAAATGGAAAAAGGGCCCAAATGCAAATGTGAAATGAAGAAATTTCAATTTCATTAATAGTTGGAGTTGTATCTTCATTAATGCACAGTTTAAGACTGTAATTCCCCAATAAACCAGGCGTGAGCGTGATAGGTACGGTACGGATATGAAGGAAATCTTTTGCTGTAGAAAAAACCCACGTGGTAAAATATGAGTGGATTAAGGAAACGATAGCTGCCAGTGAAAATCGAAGCCAAAATCGATTTAAATTTTAAAGTATAAAATACTGTATTATGTTAATTCAACGTAATTAATATAAGCCCAAGTATAATTAATTAATCAGCTTGATATATAAAGGGAAGCTGTAAAACTCCTTTCTATAGTTACAGTCTTCTCTCTCTCTTCTTCTCTCCCTCTCTCTGTGCTTCTCTCAATGAGGGCCTAGGGTTTCTCTTCACGCGAAAATTCTAGGGTTCAAAGTACTACAGCAGCGCATTTCAACCGTTGGAGGAACTGAAACGTTTTCCGTCGTTAATCTAAACACAAAAACGGCCCTTTTTTTTTTTTTTTTTTTTTTTTTTTTGTTTTAGCTAGAAGACATAAACCCTAGCTTTCATGGCCAAAACTAGACCAGGGATCACAACCAAGACCAAACTGGGCAAAAGAGACCTTGAGTCTTACACTATCAGAGGCACCAACAAGATTGTTAAAGGTATGCGTCGTTTAATTTAATTTCTTAGCACATTTATGCTTGTGTGTATCTGGTTTTTATGTCTGTATTTAAAAAAGTTGGTTTGATGTTCAAAATAGAATTTTGAGGTAGTTTTGCTTCTGGGTATTTTTTTTTTTTTTTTTATGATTATCGAATGAATGTGCGGTGTTTTTACATTTGGGTATTCTGTCATATGTTAATCTGCGGTGTTTGTACATTTGGGTGTTCTGTCATATATTAATGTGCTTATATATGGATAAATGTATATATGTGTATGTCTAAGTTGGGAAATGTTTGTTCTTGATTGTTAAGGAGTAATTTTTTGTGGTGGTTATGTAGTTGGGTATCAGTGTTTACTTGTGGATATGTGTTTTATAAGAAATATGGTTATCATTGTTAAGGATTGAGTTTTTGGTGGGTTTTGCAGTTGGGGATTGTGTGTTGATGCGACCATCTGACACTGGTAAGCCCCCTTATGTGGCAAGAATAGAGAAGATTGAATCTGATGCTCGAAGCAATATTAAGGTTCGTGTTCGGTGGTACTATCGCCCTGAGGAATCACTTGGAGGAAGGAGACAATTCCATGGAGCTAAGGAGCTCTTTTTGTCAGACCACTACGATGTGCAGAGTGCTCACACAATTGAAGGGAAGTGTATTGTTCACTCTTTCAAGAACTATACTAAGCTTGAGAATGTCGGCGCAGAAGATTACTACTGTAGATTCGAGTATAAGGCTGCTACAGGGGGTTTTACACCAGACCGAGTTGCTGTGTGAGTTTTGTGAATTATTGTTATTTGTGACTAGTAATTCTGCATTTTGTTATAGCCATTGAGGGTTTTAAATTTTTATCTTATGTTCTGAAGATATTGCAAATGCGAGATGCCGTATAACCCAGATGATCTCATGGTACAATGTGAGGGGTGCAAGGACTGGTAATATTGTTGTCTGCCTTTTTTCTTTCTTTTTTTGCTTTCCTTTCTAATTTACATTCTTGTATCAGTTATTTGGTGTTTCAGTATTTGGTGATTCATAAACAATATTACAATTTGAAGTATTAGATGATAAATGAAGTGCACTGATGGGGACGAACATTAACATGATCTAATAGAAAAAAGATGATTAGAAATTACGCTGCTGATTCTGTCTCAATTATCTGGATTTTGATTGGTAAAATCCTTATGGGAGAGGGGGAGGGGAGGGTGCCATGATAAACTCTGGAAGAGGAATGTTAAGAACACTCTCTTTTTTACCCTCTCCCTTCATTTGGCACGTGTTCAAGAAACGAAGGAAGTAACAAGTTGATCATATACTCTTGCTTTGTCTTTTATACATGTCAAAAGTAGAGTGAAAGAGTAAGAAAGAGAGACAGAAAAAAGTGTTTTTATCATTTCTCAACTCTGGAATTTGTTGGGTGCCAACCTCTCGGCTAAAAAGCATCAAATTCCTTAATCTACTGTGGTTAAAATTTCTGCTAATTTCCTTGTATAGGTAATGACTCATATACTGTTTGTATGCTATTCTCATTGTAGGTATCATCCTGCTTGTGTGGGCATGACTATTGAAGAAGCAAAAAAGCTTGAGCACTTTGTTTGTTCTGAATGTTCATCTGATGATGAGGTCAAAAGATCCCAGAATGGATTTGCTTCATCACCAACTGCTGATGTCAAGGTGAGACTAGTTGCCTGTTTGTATTATTAGATCACATATATTTTGTCTACTATTTCCCATTTGGATTATTCTTTTGGACAATATGTTGGCATTTCACTAGAATAAATGGATAGTAGGAGTATTTCTGTAAAGCTAGTTCTTCAGATGTGAGTTTATTTATTTATATATTTATTTTGGAAAATTGTAAAGTTCTTGTCCATTTTATAGTGGAAGTGCCCACTTGATAGTAAATGATATTTGAAAGAGATGTAAAGGTTTTAAAGAAGTGCAATCCCTATATATATTACATTCTTATAGATTAGGCGGCTTCTTTGTCATTTACTGATACCAGTTTAATGTTTTCTTCTCATACTTTTTAATTTCTTTACTGAATTCTGATATGATTTGTCCATGAGCTGTTTGAGGATGTGTCTAGGATGAAAGATTTTATAATACTTGTAACAACAGTGATATAACAAGAACATTTTAGGGTCAGTGTTCAAGTGCTGCTCACAGCAGACTGCGAGGTTTATAGGTTCAGTGTACAGATGTGCAGTACTTGCTAGAAGGTTTATGTGAGTGCTGGTTATCTGCTTGGGTTTTGTGTCCAAATGCAATTTGTGCTTAATTGAGGATTATTCGAATGTGTCTTTAAAGCCATGAAGCATTTAACATCTGCTGAGTTGCATTTACTTGTTTGAATGCTATGTTCATAGTTTCTTATGCATTTGATTGGTTGCATTCAACTTATAAGTGGCAAGTACCCTGTAACCTTTCCCCTTGTCTCATCATCAACAAAGCTCTTTTCAGCATTGTTGAATAACATAGATTACCCAATAGTTTGTTTATCTACAGTAAATAATTTAATTTTTAATTTTGTTTGGTTTTGGGTTTGTAATTTCATGCTTTCTGATGTTTGATTTAGATATCTATTTTCAGGCATAATTTAGATTGGCTGAGTTATATATAGATCATTTTGTATTTATTAATTTTGATTCTGGCCCTATTGTTGTATATTTACAAGACACCTGAGTTAACTGTTGATAATGATGACAATGAATTAAATCTTAACGTTTGCAAATTTTCACTATATAAAACATTCTGTTGTTTTACTTTTACATTTTTTTTTTTTTTTTTAATCACAATATCCACTCGGGTCTCCATGAGTTGGTAATCAGTTCAATATTTGATCCAACTTAGTCCTTTGGACATGATATGTGAGCTTTTACTTTGCTCAATAACTACAGTTTTGAGGGTTGTAGTTTGTAAACCATTCGGGTTAGATATAAGGCATTAAACTGTAAAGTTTATAATTGATTCATGGCGTTATAATATTTCTTTTCTACCCAAGGGAGAGCCTGCTGCTAATGCAATCATTTTAGTAGGGAAAGGTGCTTTTGAATATTCAATTTCTTGTATTTTCTTGTTGCATTATATATTTACATAATTATTTAAAGTCTATTAACTTTATTTCTTTTACGTATTTAACAGGTGGAGCCCAAGCGGCGGAAGAGATGAGTATATTTTGGGGGCATTGGTGTGCATGAAGGAAGGTTGCTTGTCTTGCCGTTGTTAACTTATAGAATGTTGTCATGTGAGCTGTATAGTCCAGAAAGCTATGTTGTGCTCTGGTCGGACTGGAGCCTGTTAGTAATGTGTTTATTTTGAGACAGTGTGTACTTATTCTAGGTTTAGGAGACGTCTCTTTTAAAAGCTGTCCAGGAAATCTCAAATGTAGTTTTCTCACAATTAAACATTTAAACCCAGGAATTTGAGTAACAGTATTTCTTTGTGAACCGCCTGGTAGCGCATCCAAGATATCTGGTTTGTTGATTATCATTCTTAATTTTATGATCTTGACAGTCTTATACTCTTATGTCAGTGGCTTCTGGGCATTTATGTACCCTCAAATTCAAGCTGGATTTGTTCTCAGGTTTAACTCCTGCATTTGTAGTCATATTTTAAACTTGGCTACCAATCAGAAATCTACTAATCAAACGATTAAGCTAAAGAAGAAGAGGTTTAGGGTTGATAAAAGTCAAGAATCTACGCCTGCAGACCAGTAGAATTTTGACTTTGATAAAACAAACCAGGGATGTTTTTTGCTGATGAATTCAACAAATTACTGGTTCTGTAGTGTCAGTATTCATTTATGGATTATGCATAAATGATGTGATATTTAATTCAAAATTTTCTCATTTAAAAGCAACCAAAGCGTGAGTTGGGAAGGAAGACATGCAAAATCTTCAGCCAGAATTGATCAAACATGGTAGTATGTAAAGAAAGGTAACGGTCAGTTCAAAGTGGGGGCTGATTTTTCTTTAATTAAATAACTCAATTAACAGCTTTATTCACATTAACAATGAGGGTTAAGCGTACGTTTTTGCATGCTTTAATGAAGGTTTTACTTCTTTCCATATCTGTAAATGAACCACTGACCTTAAATTGCCAACCCCCATCTCACTTCTCTGTAAGCAATAGGGCAAAAATGGGTGACTCATCAGCTTCATCACTTTACCAAGTTCTTCTGGTCTTTGTGAGTTTGATTCCTTGTTTTGCAGAAAAGTGGGACATATATTTGGTTTTAATGGAAGGTGACCCAGTTGCATTTCATGGCTCCACTTTCACAACCACTAATGATAACACAATAAAACCCAATTTCAACAGGTACAGTTCTATTCATATGATTGACTAGCCCATTATTTTTTTTGTCTTAATCAGCTTTCTATTCATACAATAATCACTTTGTAAAACTAATCCAATCTGTTAATCTAACAAAAGCAATGGATGAGTATGTATATACATGGAATGAACTGTTTTGATTTTTGATTTGATTTGATTTTTTAATTTTTACTGAAGTTCATTATTAATGGAGTTTTTGTGCATATGATTAGTGATCTTTCCAAGGCTTATGCTAAGAAGTTGGTGGATTCACATGACCAGTTCCTGCAAAGCACTTTCGAAACTGGAAGCTACAACAAACTTTATAGCTTTAAACACATTGTTAATGGTTTTGCGGTCCACACAACCGCCTCTCAGGTCTCNCTGATGTTTGATTTAGATATCTATTTTCAGGCATAATTTAGATTGGCTGAGTTATATATAGATCATTTTGTATTTATTGCTTTTGATCCCGACCCTATTGTTGTATATTTACAAGACACCTGAGTTAACTGTTGATAATGATGACAATGGATTAAATCTTGACGTTTGCAAATTTTCACTATATAAAACATTCTGTTGTTTTACTTTTACATTTTTTTTTTTTTTTTTTTTTTTAATCACAATATCCACTCGGGTCTCCATGAGTTGGTAATCAGTTCAATATTTGATCCAAATTAGTCCTTTGGACATGATATGTGAGCTTTTACTTTGCTCAATAACTACAGTTTTGAGGGTTGTAGTTTGTAAACCATTCGGGTTAGATATAAGGCATTAAACTGTAAATTTTATAATTGATTCATGGCGTTATAATATTTATTTTCTACCCAAGGGAGAGCCTGCTGCTAATGCAATCATTTTAGTAGGGAAAGGTGCTTTTGAATATTCAATTTCTTGTATTTTCTTGTTGCATTATATATTTACATAATTATTTAAAGTCTATGAACTTTATTTCTTTTATGTATTTAACAGGTGGAGCCCAAGCGGCGGAAGAGATGAGTATATTTTGGGGGCATTGGGGTGCATGAAGGAAGGTTGCTTGTCTTGCCGTTGTTAACTTATAGAATGTTGTCATGTGAGCTGTATAGTCCAGAAAGCTATGTTGTGCTCTGGTCGGACTGGAGCCTGTTAGTAATGTGTTTATTTTGAGACAGTGTGTACTTATTCTAGGTTTAGGAGACGTCTCTTTTAAAAGCTGTCCAGGAAATCTCAAATGTAGTTTTCTCACAATTAAACATTTAAACCCAGGAATTTGAGTAACAGTATTTCTTTGTGAACCGCCTGGTAGCGCATCCAAGATATCTGGTTTGTTGATTATCATTCTTAATTTTATGATCTTGACAGTCTTATTACAGTGGCTTCTGGGCATTTATTTACCTTCAAATTCAAGCTGGATTTGTTCTCAGGTTTAACTCCTGCATTTGTAGTCATATTTTAAACTTGGCCACCAATCAGAAATCTGCTAATCAAATGATTAAGCTAAAGAAGAAGAGGTTTAGGGTTGATAAAAGTCAAGAATCTACGCCTGCAGGCCAGTAGAATTTTGACTTTGATAAAACAAATCAGGGATGTTTTTGGCTGATGAATTCAACAAATTACTGGTTCTATAGTGTCAGTATTCATTTATGGATTATGCATAAATGATGTGATATTTAATTCAAAATTTTCCCATTTAAAAGCAACCAAAGCGTGAGTTGGGAAGGAAGACATGCAAAATCTTCAACCAGAATTGATCAAACATGGTAGCATGTAAAGAAAGGTAACGGTCAGTTCAAAGTGGGGGCTGATTTTTCTTTAATTAAATAACTCAATTAACAGCTTTATTCACATTAACAATGAGGGTTAAGCGTACGTTTTTGCATGCTTTAATGAAGGTTTTACTTCTTTCCATATCTGTAAATGAACCACTGACCTTAAATTGCCAACCCCCATCTCACTTCTCTGTAAGCAATAGGGCAAAAATGGGTGACTCATCAGCTTCATCACTTTACCAAGTTCTTCTGGTCTTTGTGAGTTTGATTCCTTGTTTTGCAGAAAAGTGGGACATATATTTGGTTTTAATGGAAGGTGACCCAGTTGCATTTCATGGCTCCACTTTCACAACCACTAATGATAACACAATAAAACCCAATTTCAACAGGTACAGTTCTATTCATATGATTGACTAGCCCATTATTTTTTTTGTCTTAATCAGCTTTCTATTCATACAATAATCACTTTGTAAAACTAATCCAATCTGTTAATCTAACAAAAGCAATGGATGAGTATGTATATACATGGAATGAACTGTTTTGATTTTTGATTTGATTTGATTTTTTAATTTTTACTGAAGTTCATTATTAATGGAGTTTTTGTGCATATGATTAGTGATCTTTCCAAGGCTTATGCTAAGAAGTTGGTGGATTCACATGACCAGTTCCTGCAAAGCACTTTCGAAACTGGAAGCTACAACAAACTTTATAGCTTTAAACACATTGTTAATGGTTTTGCGGTCCACACAACCGCCTCTCAGGTCTCTCTCATTCATTAAACCCTTTAGTTGATTCTCTTTAAAAAAAAAAAAAAAAAAAAATAGTTTCACAGTGTTTTCCTGGTAAATTTATATGAATTTCATTTCAGGCAGAGAAACTAAAACATGCTCAGCAAATAAAGTTGGTGGAGAGAGATAGAGGAGCCAAATTAATGACAACATACACCCCTCAGTTTCTAGGGTTACCTCAAGGAGTGTGGACGCAAGAAGGGGGAGATAAAAATGCAGGTGAAGGGATTGTGATTGGTGTTATTGACACAGGAATCAACCCATTTCATCCAAGCTTTGCATACGACCCCTTGAATCCGTTTAGCTCTAATATTTCTCATTTTTCCGGTGCCTGTGAGACTGGTCCTCTATTTCCTGTGACTTCTTGCAATGGAAAGATAGTTTCGGCTAGGTTTTTCTCAGCTGGGGCTCAAGCAGTTGCCACTCTTAACACTTCAGTAGACTTTCTTTCACCATATGATGCAGTTGGACATGGCAGGTATATGCAGCAGACCCCATAGTTACCCTTTTGATTAATGGGGATTGCGTCTCAATGATAATAGTAAAAACAAAATTTGATAATAAAGCATTTATTGTTGTTATATATATTAGGTATTATCATTAAATTTTCGTTTGAGTATACTCTTAACATATGTTTTTTAAGGCACACGTCAAGAGTAACCTTTAATTTATATCTATGTAATTATACAAAATTTTCATTTTTGTTCAGCCATGTGGCATCAACTGCTGCTGGAAATGGCGGTGTTCCGGTGGTCGTGAATGGCTTCTTTTACGGGCGAGCCAGTGGGATGGCACCACGTGCACGGTATAGGTTATCAGTTTATCGTTGTTTATGGCTGGAAATGCTAAGTAGTACAAGTACTGCTGTACCTTTGGAGTTTGTAGCGGGGTTGTTGATTTAACCTAATCTCATACCTTTTTCAGAATTGCTGTTTATAAGGCTTTGTATCCGACTGTGGGAACTCTTGCAGATGTAGTTGCAGCAATAGATCAAGTATGTGTACCTTCCTTTTCAATGTTTGTCTTCTTATTTCAGTTTTAGGCGAAGCAAAATTAGCTCCATGCATGAAACAAATCAACACCTATTACCCTTTGCAGAAATTATATTACAAATAAAAGAAAAAATATATAAGTTATGCATGCATGCATGCAGCTATATGTTTACGCTCTCTACGTCCTCCTTGTCTCAATGAACATATTTTTCAATCAATACCCACTCTGGAAATGGTTGAAATTGATTTGAGGGAGAGAAGTAATACAAATGTTTTAAAGTATTTTTTGGTTTGAATCACCACAGGCAACACAAGACGGAGTGGATATCATAAATCTCTCCATAGGACCAGATGAGCCGCCCACAGATACACCAACTTTCTTAAGTCTTTTTGATGTTTACATGCTGTTTGCAAGACGAGCTGGAGTTTTTGTGGTGCAAGCTGCCGGGAATCGGGGACCTGGCTCCTCTACTGTCGTGTCTTATAGTCCTTGGGCCGTTGGTGCCGCCGCCTGCAGCACAGATAGATATTACCCTGGTTCTCTCCTCCTTGGAAATGGTCAAAAAGTTGGAGGTGTTGGATTATCAGGTATCTTCTACTTCCAAACAAAAATCATCCCCGATTGAATCTCCTTAACGGTATCAATTCAATAACGTTTACAAGAATTATTTAGCTATATGTTAGTATATATATTACATGTATAGATAACAAAAAAAGTCTATATATGCAGCTAAAACATTATACACAGTAACTAAAATCATTACAAGAAATTTGTGGTTTTCACAATATCTGTTTTGACGTGGACAAATTTTGTTGGAAAACACAACCTTCTCGGGTTCTGGCAAGCGTCACTAAAATATCATTATCTTCTGGGTATATTAGATTGGTTCATAATCTAATCTTATAAACTTTCTCCCACAACCCCGACATGACAATTCGCAATTGGTCAACTCACAATTGAACATGTAAGACCCATAGCAAGTAGACGGAATCTATTTGTGAACTGACCAATTGTGAGCTACCACGTCGAGGGTTGGGTTGCAAGAGAAAGTTTGTGAGATTAGGTTATAAGTGTAGTATTGTCCCGGCAAAATTGTGTCGGAATAATTATGACCAATCGCATACAAAATTATTGGATTTTACAAGGGCTGATATGATATTCTCAGTGTATCAATATCATTACAATCTCCTATATTTGTTATATTTTTCTTGCTTAGGACCGACTATGGGAGGGTTATTACTTTCGAAGCTGCTATTGGCCAAGGATGCCCTTAAGGTAGATGGGACATTTCCAAGGACTCCGCAGTTCATGGAAGAGTGCCAATACCCAGAAGCTTTTGATCCTACTCTAGTGCTAGGAAGTATTGTCATTTGCACTTTCTCGGCTGGCTTCTATAACGAGACTTCAACACTCACTGCCATCATCAACACAGCAAGAACTCTACGATTCATGGGATTTGTTCTACTTGCAAACTCTAATTACGGTGATTACATCGCTGAGCCCATACCCTTTGCTGTTTCTGGCATTTTGATACCAAAAGTCTCCAGCTCACAGGTACTAATAATCAGCATATATTGCCTTCAAGATATTAATACAAGTTATTCCAGAATCAGAATTTGGAGCAATCTTAATATAAGATTAAATAAAATGTCATTGTGCTTTGCAGATTATTTTGCAGTACTATGAGCAACAAACAGGCAGGGATGAGAGAGGATTTGCCACCAAATTCAATGCACAAGCTGCCTTGGGAGAGGGAAGAGTTGCTTCATTTGAGGGTCGAGCACCCAGTGTTGGTAGATTCTCTTCAAGGGGGCCAGACTTTATTGATGTTAACAGGAATCCTACCGATGTGCTAAAGCCTGATGTACTTGCACCAGGCCACCAAATTTGGGCAGCTTGGAGCCCCATCAGCGCCTTAGAGCCCATAATATCAGGTAATTCATTTAGCAGCTATCCGAAATTGTGTTAATATTTTCTCATTTGTAAATGACTAATCCAACTTGGCTGCTAATATTAGGATACAATTTTGCACTATTGTCTGGCACAAGCATGGCAACACCACATCTAGCTGGAATTGCAGCTCTCATCAAGCAAAAGAATCCGTCATGGACTCCTTCAATGATTGCTTCCGCAATCTCCAGCACTGCCACCAAGTATGATAATTATGGAGAACTTATAATGGCAGAAGGATCTGATCTCGGTAGCTTGTACAACTCTACTCACTTTGATTTTGGTGCTGGCCTAGTGAGTGCAACTCGTGCCATTGATCCAGGCCTAGTTTTATCTTCAGGTAACCGTAAGTCTTGCTGCACAGTTCGTATAACTGTTTGTATAGGTTCGGATTTAAGGCGAAAATTTATATGATTTTATATGAACAATAAATGATGTTGAAACAGAATTTGAAGACTACATCAGTTTCTTGTGCTCTTTGCCAAACATTGATCGGTTTATGATCAAGGCGGTGACCGGAGCATGGTGCAACCAATCGCTGAGCCACCCGGCCAACCTGAATCTCCCTTCAGTGACGGTGTCATCTCTGGTGAAGTCCCTTACAGTGCAAAGGAGTTTCAAGAATGTAGGAAACAAATCAGAGACATATTTGAGCTCAGTAGTGAGACCAAATGGGACTACAGTTAACTTGTATCCACCTTGGTTTACTGTAGCTCCACTGGGATCCCAAGTTCTGGATATAGAATTTAATGTGATCCAAGCAATGGGCCAATTCAGCTTTGGCGAGATTGTTTTAACTGGGAGCTTGAATCACATTATAAGAATACCATTATCAGTAAGGCCAGTTTCAATATTCTAGATTAAAGAAATAAAGAAATATTTAGTCATTACTGAAACATGAGATGAATCAGAGGATCATATTTTCTTCAGTGCTGTCCACAGGTGATAGAAGTCGTCCTCAGAGAGGCTAAAAGGCTTTGCATCTTCTATATATTTATGAAAAAATTAACTCTCATTCAATCAATGAGAGCACATGAATAGTATACTAAGGTAAAAATTAATGAACAATAAATGTTACATGTTACAATTGGCATTGACATGCTAAAGCAAAGCATAAATTAATCTGTAGTGCACATACATTCTTTACAACGAGGATATCGATAAACACTCCTTCCCTTAGGCCTTGATTGGACATGTTTAGTTTGTCTAACTGCCTTCCTAATTCTCTGTTCAAAGACTTTCCATTCTATGGTGGAATTCTTCATGAAGATAGCCGCAAGTCTTCGCTTGTTTGGTCGAATAGTCGGCATCTTCCCTCCACCATAGTATATTCGATAACCAGAGACCAATGACGACAATTGACTCCCTGAATCTGTCATGGCAAATGCATCGGCAGCTGTGCAGCCAATGAAATCCAGTGCTGCTAGCTGTAGAAGTAAACACAAGTTACATCCAGATTTTCTACTTAGTCGAACTCCCTGACTGCATGGAAGCAAATTACACACATATCAAAAACATAAACTGAAATTTATATAGATTCCCACTTCGTTACCTGAGACGAAAAGTTCTTGAATGGTTCAAGTTCAGCTGCTGAAAGCAAGTTCTCTTTAGTAACTAAATAAGGATACAAGGTGTTCAAAGCAGCCAATCTTTGTGTCCCCCCATATATCTGTGCCCCAGCAACAAATATATGCGTCTTACGGTTGAAACCAAGAGCAGCAAGCATAAGTACTGCTTCTTCGGGCGCCAATGGACATAGCCCTTCAGATCTGAGCTCTGCAGGAGAAGGCAGCCTGTAACAAGTTAAATAATCTCTTTAGATAACAAAACACAGAACTCAAACCATAAATAGCTTTCATTTAATTTATTATTAGGAATAAAACAATATGCCCTCCCTCCATTTTTATAAATAAGGAACAAAATGATTCTCCCTCTCTCTTAAATCTTTTCCCTTTCAACTAAGGGGAAGTGGGCATGTAAACAATGTTTTTCTTTAATACAAGCAATTATGTTAAAGATAACAATGAAACTTTATACAAAGATGCTTAACCCTATAGATGCAGATGCAAAATAGAAATGGAGGGAAGTCAGAAATACATACTTTGTTGTCTTCTGGAGAAGTGTCAATGCAGGAAAATGAATTTCACGAAATGCTTCCAACTCTTGTCTCTCTTGTTCACCTCCACCAAATTCACAGAGAGAATGAGCTACCATGTCAATTTCAAATCTCAGGTGTAGAGCTAAGTATTTTGAAGCTTTTGCAGACCGAACCCCTTTTTCCTTCACAACTGAATCTTTATGCAGACCAACAAGATAGTTATCCAATGGCCCAGGTTGAGCAGCATGCTTACGCAACCGTTGAAGGAGCAAAGCACCTGTTTGTTGTATTTTTGGAGTAAACTGTAGTGCGTGAAAATTGCATCTACATCGAAGTCTCTAGATTAAGTCCCGAATCAGGAAGAGCAAAGTAAGAAAGAAGACATAACACTACAAAAGGCCAAGTAATGATCAAACCAATAAATAATGCTTACAATCTAATTTTCCTAGCAATGGACAAGAGAAACAAAGGCTAGAATTTACCTGCAACTGGAAAGTTAATGGATCAAATGCCAAACGATTCCCAAACCCAAGTAAATGGACAACTCTATTCCGAAGTAGAATAGGGAGAATGTTTTTCAAATAAAAACTTGGCTTGGACTCTTTTGGGATGTCTACATCTGTCACCTGGAACAGCATTTGAACAATGTTATAAACGAACACATAACTAATGGTACCACTGCATTAATAAGTACAAAAATTTGAGATAAGAAACTCACAACACTATGAATTGCCTCCAAATCTAATGACTGTAGCTCATTTGGAAGTTCCTTCACTATCCGAATATCAGGAGTCAAGTAGTTAATAAAATACTCCTCCTGATAGATATCGCTGAATTGACTATCAAATTATACAATTTAATTCTGTTATTTTCCAGCTAGAGAAATTACTACGGATTTTGAAAAAGGAAGTCAATCAAAATGCCGTTTGGATAAATGCAATTCAAAATATGCACATGCACATGCTGTTCAACCAAACTCGTACTCATTACTACGCATGACTAATGTGAAATTACAAAAAGCAAACTTATGCAGGTCCCACAATGCCAACCCAGAAATGAAAGAAGAAACTTGGGGGGAAAAGGGGTAGGGGGAGGTTACATGCTTCTTTTACCATCTTCTAACATCTCACACCATGCCCCCTAAAAGAAATTATTGGAAACAGGCACACTTCGGAAATGTTTAACGTGTGATCAACGGATCAAACTTCAATTTATTACAGAAATAGCTATTACAAGAAACCTAGTAATAAATTAAAGGTAAACTTTCCAATTTGAAGAAAACACTATAGTATGGAAGAAACAAACAAACAATCAGGCGACAAATGGTGAACAAAAAGAAAAAAAGGGAAGTAATATTTCACCTCACATCTCTCCAGACACTACTGTACATAAATCTCGGAACAACAAGAGTTGCATTAAGCAATCGTGCTAGGACAACAGCATTGCAAACCTGTTTACAGTCAGAACCACAGTTTTAGGCAATAGAAAATGGTAACAAAATGTATTACCACTCAGAGAAGTAAAGCTTATGTATGAAATCAACAAAAATAATGATTAAAGAACACATAATAGAGCAATGAAAAATGATGAAATTTGTGTCATGGGGATTACTTACAGCTACTCGCTGCTGATTCATCCCACCATTTGCAGTGACCACAAGGTATCCATTATTTCCCCCTATTAATCACACAAAGTGCAATGTCAATACTGAATTGAGCTACTAATTTACTTATAAGATCCATGTTCTGACATACACAACTAATATCTTAACATAACCATACTTATCAATGACACACACACACACACACACACACACAAAAATCTCACCATTAGGTTCCCAACTACACTGATCAGCACAAGGTCTCCAAGAAGAAGCAGGAACCACCGGCTCGTGCCACAAATCTTTCGGCTCACGTTTATTCTGCCCCTGCATGCCAAGCACACACAGAATCACCAAATGGTGGAAACTAAGCAGTTTAGTGTATAAATATAAGGGCCTGTTTGATTTTTTATATGAAAATATTTTTCAAGAACTAAGATTCAATAATTGAATCTCAATATATTTAATATCCCATTGAGAAAACGAAGAAAGTTCGTTTCTGTTTTAACAATAGTTTTTAGGATTAGAATTGTATCCAAAAACTAATTTTTAAAATATTTCAGCTCAATTCAATCAAAGGTGTTTGATAAATTCGAAAACAGAAAACTAAATCCATTTCTATGATCTCGAAATTCAATTACCTCAGCCAAGGCATGAGCAGCCAAAGCCAACATCCTTCCATAAACACCAAACTGTGACCTCTTCCCTTTACCTAACTTCTTCAATTCTTTCTACAATAATCACAAAACATAATCTTGAATCAGCATCAACCTATAAAACTTCTAAAAGAAACTAGCTTTGTCACAAAAATTACTAATTTCGGCCATTAAAAAGATTACCTTAACAGAAACTGAAGCTGATACTGAAGATGAATTGACAATAGACAATTTTTGTCGTTGCCCATGATCTTGTAAACTCGAAAGCATAAACCAATTAACAAAGAAAAAGAACCCAACCAAACCAATCACACCCACCAAACTTTTCACTCTCTTTCTTTGATACCAAACTCTACCACCTCCTTTCCTCTTCACTTTCTTCAATTTCAACCCAAAAAGATGGTCATTGCTACTAGCAAACCGGCTTGAGTCAAGCCGGGGCGAGCCATGTCGGCTACTTGAGTCATGTTCCTTGTCAGATTCAAGAATAAGATGGTGATTTGAGGACATTTGGGTGAGTTGTGTTGTATTGGGTTAGTTTTCGTAAAAGATTGTTAATCTTTTAAGGACAAAGAAGCGAGAAAAGTGGGGGCAGTTGCTGGGCGTGGTTGAGTTCGGTTTCGTGAGACAAAAGTAGAAGTTCCGGCAAAGAGTTGGGCCGGAATTTGAGTTGTGTTCGAGTTAAATTGGCTTTATGTTAGGCTGTTACGTCACAATGGCGGTTTATGGTTAAAGAACAACTAACTTATTCGGCTGACTCTGATTTGCCTCTACCATTATGGGCAACTTTGCTTCGCCTTTCGATAAGGAATTTTTTTACCAATTTTTTTCGATTAAATATTTGTTTAAAAAAATAAAATTAATTAAAAAACAAATAAACAATAAAATTACAATAAAGATTGGACTCAATCTTACCATTTTTCTTTTAAACACTTTGTAATTGATAGAGGTGAGTATTTGAGACTGGATCCAAAAACACAATCCTAGGAGCAGGCCTAAGGAGGAGGGCTCGGTCCCTCCACTGGGCCCTCCTCTAAGGCCCAAGCCTAGGACCGGTCCTAGGCTTGGACCTAAATTTTTTACATATTTTCGTTTTAGTCCTTTATACAATTACATAAAATTCTTTATAAATTTTGAAATAACATAGATTATAGGGGTTAAAAAGGAATTTGTACAAAATTTATTAAAAAAAAAAATTTCCTAGCCCTAAAAAATTTATAAATTTTACCCTTAAAAAATATTAAAAACCCCCTACAAAATTTCATATTACCTCTTCAATATAAAAAAAGAATCGAAGGGAAGAATAAATTTTTCAGGCCCATAGGACCAGTCCTAGGGACCGATCCAGGTCCTAAAATTGCTCATAGGCCTGGGACTCATAAGCGACTGGTCCCATTTGAGACTAACTCTAGTAATTGATCAGCTCGCAATTGGATAGACAAAATCTATTGTAAACTGACCAATTATAAGCTATTACATCGAAGTTGTAAAAGAAAATTTATAAATGTAAGTTATAAGTATAGTATTACACGTAAAATTAACTTCATTGGCCTATTAAAATATAATCATAGGTTGTTTTTTTTTTTTTTTTTTTTGCAGGGGTGGGGGCGCGCTCCAAACAAGCTTGTATACATATCGATTAATCTCCTAAAATGTTAAAACCATAGAGTTAACAAGTGAATGATCATCTCTGTTAACAACCGAGTCAACTCAAATTCAAGATAACCAAGTATAGTCATAGTTCAGATAAAAGTTTTTATAAATTTTACCATATTTTGTTTATTTTTTAAATATAAAAAGAGGTAAAAGTTGGAGGCACGTGGAACAACCTGTTCAGAGGATTAGGTTGTCGTTGAGTTCAAATTTTCCATCGTTTTATACAGGATTTGTCACATGACCATTTTGTCTTTTATGGAGTTTTGCCAGTCTTTTGTACCAGAATCTGAGCACTTCAAACTGGCTGTCATGTCTGGTAAAAGTCCATTCTCTAAAACACACCCACTTTTTCACAACTGTCACAGGCTCACAGCAACCCACAATTAAAATAAATAAAAAATAAAAAGTCCTTAATAATATGATCTTCATGACTTAAATCAAACGCAGAATTTTTTTTTTATTAAGCTGCAAAACATTTTGAATACGCATCAACATAGCGGAAGAAAAATTATAAAAATACAAAATACACTGCAGCATCTCCGCTAAACATATGTATATATACTTTGATTTGCACTGTTGAAATAAAAATTATAGAGATGAATTTATGGGGAATAATTACATATCTTTTTTTTTTTTTTTTTCTTTCCCTCTGAAGTTGTATGCTCTTCAGTGTCTCCAGAGCTCGGCATGGTTGTATACAAAATTTGGAAGCTTCCATTTTCAAGTTCAATGAAGTTGGTATGTTTAGAATGACATGTCGATAGCTTCATGCTCTGGGGTTTTGTAGGAGAATCCTGATTCGTCGCTGGAACGCCTTTTGACAACACTGGCCCTTTGGACTAGACGCACCAGTGCTTGCACGACCTCGGACATTGGAGGCCTAAACTCAGGTTCTGGCTGTAAAAAAGGAAAAAGATGTAAATTAATAATTCTCAATAGTGGAAAAGATGAAATGTAGAACTAGACAAATACTTCATTACAGCCATGAGATTGAGAAAGTTGGGTTTTGAGTTATACATATTGCAGGTAATACTGCAACCGGAAAGTTACATATAAGTATATAACATGAAAAATAAAAGGTTGAAATAACATCAATTATCTAGCCGTCCATCATCAGTAAGAATTTTACCTGAACGCAGAGAGCAATAATGTCTGCAAAGCGTGACAGAGACTTTGCTGGATACATGCCATTCAAGGCAGGATCAACCATTTTTGCCAATGCATCTATATCATGTAGTTGGGGAGTGGCCCATCTCACAAGTGATTGCTCTGATCTTGGCCTTGAACTGGAAAACAGGTAATACAAGAAACAGGAGCAATCATGTAAACCATTTAAGTTCAGGAAAAAAAATGTGACAATAATGTAAAAAAAGGTTTACCTGTCAAGTGGCTTCCGACCAGTCAACAGCTCCAACATAACCACCCCAAAGCTGTACACGTCACTTTTTACAGTATATATTCCTGACAAGGCAAATTCAGGGGCGCTATATCCAAATGCACCAACCATCTGAGTGGCAACCTGTCAAACATGAAGATAACAGCACTCATAGAGCTAGCATATAAGAAAAAATACATAAAGAGCAAGTCCCATGAAATGTGAAAATAATATCCTATTCCAGTTAATCACCTGCCGCTCAGTGTTTGGTGTTAGAGCAGCTAAACCACAATCTGACAAGTGGGGATTGAGTTCTTCATCAAGTAGAATGTTTGCCGACTTAAAATTTCTATGTACAACAGAAGGCAAGCACACTTCATGCAAATACCTGATAACAGAGCAAAAGTTTAGAAAAGGACACATTTCAACCACCCGAACATCCTCCCACAGAGAGAGGAGGGGGTGAGAGAGAAACTTAAAATGTCATACACATGTCACTTACTCTAGAGCCCGAGCAGTTCCTAGCGCTACCCTAACACGTGCATTCCAAGTCAGGTTTTTGCTGCTATCATCAGCAAAGTGCAGCATATCATGCAGACTACCATTTCCTACGAACTCATACACAAGAAGACGCTGACCATGCTCAGCACAATATCCAGCCAATGTAACAATGTTTGGGTGCCTCAAGCGTGACATATTAGAAACAGCATCAAGAAAATAATCTTCCTCCTGTAACGACAGTGCCGCATTGTCGATCTTCTTAACAGCCATTATCTAGTTCAAGCCAAACACAAAAAGACTATCCTTATAAGGCATAAAAAGATGCATGAGTAAAACAACTTCGAAGTCAGATGCTGTAGTGTTGCCACACTACTAAACCTAAGTGTTGAAACGATGGTCTATGTGGGTGTATAATGGAAGAGAGAAACTTAGGGTTCTTTGCAACAATGAAGGTGGTGTAGATATCAGCAAGCTAATAAAATATAAATAGAAAACGGTGAAAGGAGCATATAGGACAACATCAGATTCTTACTGCAGAATTGTTGCAGTAGAAAATCCTGCCAAGTGGATATAAGCTTATTATATTATTTGCACCCTAGTCTAATTGTCATGGACCCCGGTAGAACCATTATATTGTTACACACAATTTCAGCACCATTCAGTTACCTTTCCAGTGGGAAACTCTGCTCTGTAAACACGACCGAGGGAACCTTCACCAATAAGAAATTCTTGACTGAAACTATTTGTAGCTGTTTGGAGAGAAGCGACGGTATATGCAGTAGCAGTGATAGGCGACTTCATTTTCTTTAAGGATCCATTTTTTGACACACTCTCAACCACCAATTTTTCTGCAGGTGGGGGTGTCAGATCAGTAACAGCAGCTGCACTTTTCACTCTCGGCTCTTGCATCTCAGCATTTACTGCAAAAAAAAAAAAAAAAAGTGGATTGCAACACCAAAACAATCAGGAGCAAGGCAATGAGCTTTGAGCTCCGAATTGTTAATGCCTATAGAGTTCCAAGCAGGCTCACTAAAGCAGAAATTTTTTTTATTGACATAACAATTACGTTTAGATAGTGTAGATAATTAAACTACACAAAATCTATATAAATGATTTAGATCATAAATAAATGAACTTATTACTATCTCTTGGTCCTTAAAGATTCACTCATTGAAAATGTAACCCTACATAAACACAGAATGCAAAAACTATGTGCATAATTAAATAACTAAACTAGAATAGGAGATGCACGAGAGTTAACAGAATAGAGAAATGAAAACCTACCATTAGTAATGCCGATAGGGAGACTTCCTGCAGAAGTTCTTGTACCACTTACCTTCCTTTTATTCTTTCGAACACAATAACAAAGAGAAAGTAGCACAAGGGCAGCCAGAACAACAGCACCCAGAATTATGCCTACAATAGATCCAACTGACAATCCTTCATCTGAATCAGATGATTGGCTATCGGGAGGTGAACGTGAACCTGATCCAGAACGAGTCTGATTATTACCAGATCTACCAGCTGGTGGTGCAGTGTATGGAGGTGGTGGTGGAGCAGGACCATTGTCAAAAGAATTGCCATCATATCTATTTTATTTCAATAACAAAGTTAAGCACATGAAGTCATTATGAAAAGGGAAGAATAATCACGAAAGAGGCACAATCAGCAAAAACTTACATAAAATTTTTTATTGAACTAAGCTCTCCAGGTATCCAGCCACTAAAATGGTTGTTCGCAACATTTCTGTAGGAAATTCAGGTGAGATAAGAACAGATGAGAAGATAATACAACATCAAGCCCCAACATCTAAGCAGAAACTTACAGAGTAGTCAAAGGCAATCCCGAAAGAACATTAAGAGTTCCAGTCAATTGATTATTCTGCATATAGCTGCAACAGATTCAGATATCGTGAGCACTCTCATAGAACTTCACATATATTACAGTTTTTCACCCAGGGAGGAAGTATCAATATACTCACAGTTCGGAAATATTGGATAACAAACTAAGTGAATTAGGAAGATCTCCAGAAAAGTTGTTGGAAGAGATGTCCCTGCATTAAAAAGAATGGTCACTCAATGAATGATACAATTTAGAAACAACCAACAGCTGCAATTTCTCAAAAGTTATTGATGCTCTTTAGGCACTCAGCTGAAATGGGTCAAAGGATGTATTTCCAGAATCAAATTTACATAATTCATGCCCAAACACCATATTGAACAAAGTAAAATTGCTGTAATATAACAGATCATAACTAAAGTTCTCAGCATAATGATTATAACGGCCTGAACACACAGAAATCAGAGCCAATATAACAGCAGTAACAAATGTGCATTCAAGTAAGATGTCTTACAAGGTTGAGAGGGCAGCAAGATTACCAAAAACATCTCCAACTGACTGAGCGAGTGAATTTCGACTTACATTCCTAAACAACAAATTACGCTCAGTCAGACACAAGACATATTCCAAATTGCATGATAGATTAATCAAATTTTATAGCTTCCATGACAACCTACTTACAGATAAGTGAGCTTAACCATGGTAGAAATGGAATAAGGAAGATTCCCAGTAAAGTTATTGCTTGCAAGATTTCTGCATCATAAAATGAACAAGAATCAGCAAACCAAGCAAGTAAATAGAAACAAGAATAGAATATATCAATAAACAATAGAACTTTACAGGCTTGTAAGATTTGGTGGTAACTGATATGGGACTGTATCGTGAATGTTGTTGCCACTCAAATCGCTGCAAATAAATAAATTAAAAAGAAAAGATAATCAAGTTAACATATAATATGGATAACCTCATTAAACCCCTCATAAACGAAACAAAGCAAGGATTTTTCTCACAATTTTCTCAATGACATAAGGTCTGAAAGCAAGTATCCCAATGTTCCACTGAGTCCTAACCTAGAAATATCACTGTTACAAAAACAACCGATAAGAACCCATCATCAAAATCACATATAAAATCGATGTTTATGAAGAAAAATAAAAAATAAAAAATCTACATTTATTATATTAATTCATACATGGACACAACAGCTGATCCCTCACAAGATACTCCTTTCCATGACTCTGTACATGGATCACCTCCATTGTTTTTCCAATTAGTAAGCTGCGATGAACTGTTTAGTGAAGTGTACATAACCTGAAGAGCTTGAACTGCAACAAATTAAATGGCCCAAAAATGAGATTTTTTTCAACACGAAAACAACAGTACAAACAAAAGATTCAAACTTTTTCAAAGCCCACTTTCCTGCATTTTCTCAACGACCAAACAGAACCATAAAGCATCAAACTTTAAACCAAATCAATAAATCCCACACCAAAAATAACTTGATCTCAACGATCAAAAAAAAAAACAAGTACCATCATTAGCATCAGTAGTGCAATGAACAAGAGACAGAGCCGATAAAATGAACACAAACTGAGATACAACGAAAGAAACAGAAAAAACAGGTCTTGTTTGGGCAGCCATTGTTTCGTGGGTGGCTGTTTCGTTCTCTTTCCCAGTAAAGGTGAGGATCAGAGGTGAGGTTCAGGTGATGTTGAGTGCATGGTACAGCAACATGGCGATGCAGCCAAGAAAGAAGAAGAGAAGGAGAAGGTGAAAGTGAAATTGGGGGCAGCTGTTATGAATGTTGCGAGAGGCAACGCCATTAAAGAAAGAGAGAGAGATTCGAAGCTTGAGAGTAGTAATGAAGAGAGAGTGAATTAAGTGTCGGCGAAAAAAAAAAACCAAAATCAAAATCAAAAAAAAAAAAAAAATCAAAAAATTTATTAAAATTAATTTAATTGTAAACAGTGGAAAAATTAAGGTCGGATTGAACTTTGAAGTAGGCAAGTAACGTATGAATATCGATACTTTACAGGTAGCTCTTTGCCTCTGTTACTTTCTTATCCTCTACACCCGTTCTTATATCTGTTTTCCCTAGACTTTCTTCCTGATATCGCCACGTCACCAGATGTATATTTTTGTCATGCAGAATTAGATTACAAATTCAGATTTTCAGATTTGATAATTATTAGTTTATTACATTACTATAAGAATATAATTACCATAAAGATAATGATCTCATTTAATTGAAAAAAGGAAAAAGTGTTTAAGGTATAATTTTTTGTTTGTGAAAATAATAGATAAATATTAACCTTAGTTTTGTGATCGGACGACAAAACTTTAATCATCTGGGTGAATTACCCAGAGGTCTTATGTTCGAGTCTCATAAAATGACCACTTACTATATTTGTGACTTACACAAACTTATTCAGTTTGTAGAGTATTCAATTGACCGTAAAATTAGTTAAGGTACACACAAACCGACCCGGACCCTTAGATTATCAAAATAATAATAATAATAATAGATAAAAAAATCTAATGAAAATATGTTTTATTAAAAACAAGTTGAAATATTTTCGAAAACAATTTTTAGATGCAATCATTAACACTAATATAAAAATTAAGAAAGGATACATAATTTTTTTTTATAGTTTTTAAATATGATATAAACATATTTCTAAATACTAAGATATAAATTAAAAATTTTATGTGTTTTAACTTTTTGTAAATAATTTTGGATTATTACTAGACACTTCGGCTGAGGTTTCAGGTATTCTTAGTTACACCCTATATGTATCAAAAATGGTCAAAACAACCTCCCTGCACATTGAAGAGTATACTCGGTCATTAACTTAAAAACCCTAGAGATCAGTCGAGGTAGCGCAAGCTGGTGTTACTTTGATTTTTAAAGAGAGATGAAGTCAATAAATGGATAAATAAATAAATAAAAAGATTATCATACGAGAAGAGAAAACATGACTTTTTGTTTATAAGGTGAACTGAAATGACGCATTTGCCCTTAATCAATAATGGTTCACTGTTAGAAAACGAGGGGTAACAGAGTTTAGTAACTACTTTATCAAATGTGAAGAGAGATTTTTTTTACGCATACCTCAATTAATCCCCGGAATCTATTAACACCCTATAGGCCCAATGTTTCAAGTAAGCCATAAATGTGGTAGGTGATCCTAAGTTCGTTTGAATCTAGGAAGTCAATAAAGAGAGTAAATCTTCTTGACCATCAAACCAATCCTTTTGGAATTAGTGTGAAGTGAGGTTGGTGAGGATTTTTTATACATGCTGTGTGTAATTGAGAAGACCTGAAACCTTAGGGGAGGTCTCTGATAATAACCCAATAATTTTAGATAAACAAAAAAAATCAAACGGATCCGAAGAGATTTATAAATCAAGTTGCACAACAGAACAGTAAAAACGGATGCAGAGAATGGAAATCCCTTGCTCTCTGGGGACGTGAAGACCAAACCTACTCCAACACGAGTAAGTATAATAAAACTGGAAAAGTAAAAAGACGAAAACGCCCTTGAAAGTAGAATATTATAGCAGTGAATCATTGATCTTCCCACTTTTTGTGCCGGTGCTAGGACAATAAGAAAAGTACCAAATCAAGCCTGAGATTGGCAGACAGATATGAGACTTAGGAAAATGACTAGAATGTCCCTTTGTGGAAACTGATAGGGACTTTCTTTCATATATTTGTTGACTTTGGATTTTGGAAGAATGAGCTTTTTGCTTTATGGAAATGAAAACAAAAATGTTTTTGTTTTTGGTTTCAAAATTGCTTTTGATAACAACACTAACTCATTCATAATAAAGCATATAATGTAACTATGACCACAATATGGGTGGTAGGGCCAATTTTGACATTATGTGTCACTGGGATTTGGGAGTTATTAGGGTTACCAAAGAATACAATGCTTTGACTATGCAATTATGTTTTAATAATACACAATCCAAAATGTTAAAAATTGATATAAAATACAATAATAACACAATCAAATCCCACATTGCTGCTAAGTTAAGATGGGTTTGGTAATTCGACTGGTCAATTTTTGGATACCCTTTTTTTTTTAAGAATTCAATTATCTAGGTGAGTTTTCGTTTTACCCGATACTTATAGAACAATACATACAAACCCTTTTGTTGACTTACTTGATAACCAGTAGTCTTGTGGTTAGACAATAAGACTTTAGCCATTTAAGTGAATTATTCAGATGTCTTGTTTGAATACCATAAAGTGGTCACCTACCACATTAGGGTGTTCAATGGACTCCAAGATTAGTTGAGGTACGCGCAAACTGGTCTAGACAAACCCCGGTTATCAAATATATATATATATAGAGAGAGAGAGAGAGAGAGAGAGAGAGAGAGAGAGAGAGAGAGTTTGAGGTTAGTTTATATGGAATCGTCATAACTAAGTAGATGCATTTAAGTGAAAAATGTTTGTGTGAAGCAAACAAGCAAAATCCTTATTGGTCGAGATCCAAATGGACAATATCCATTTTATAAGACTTGAATGTTACAATTGGTATCAAGACAAACTCATTACTCGATAATGTGAAGTGACGATCTCATGAGGGCGTGAGATCCATTGAATGGAGAGTTCCGCATCCTACATTACACAATACACTTTACTACTAGTAAACATATTTTCGGTAAAATGGAAAGCTCAAAAACATATTAGTATGGACCTAAACTTAAAATAGACAATATTATATATTATTAAAATTTTATTATAAATTACTAAGGAGTAATGCTACGCCCTTAACATTTTCTCACAAACTCCTTTTACAACCTTGACGTGACAACTGAACTCTACCACACTGAAAATACAAAATGATTTTGATTAGACTAAAGAAACGATTGTTTCTTCATAGGGAACGGTCGTTCCTCACGAAAGGAATGACCGTTCATAATAAGGAACAACCTCATGAAAGGAATGGTTATTCTTTAAGGAACAATCATTTCTTATGAATGAACAATCATTCATTTCTAGTAGTGTTTTAGGTATCTTAAGTGTGGTGAGAGCTGATGTGACGGTGCTAATCTACTAACACGTCTAAATTGTAAGAGAAGGTTGAGAGATTGAGTTGTACACGTAACATTTATTTTATTACTAAATTATCATCATCATCATCATCATGTATCATACATAGTATGACCCACAAGAAGTTATTTCATTATTTTTCCTTTTTAATATGTGAAAACCTTGTTTATAGTACAATTTCATGAGATCAACTCAATTTATAGTACGATCCATAGTGTTTATGAGGATCATGTTTGAAACATTAGCAAACCATTTTTAATGTGTTCTATAATTTTTATATAAAAATATAAAAAGCTTCAAAATGAAATAAGATCGGTTGTCGGTTGAAAATGAAATAAGATTGGTTGTCGGTTGATAAGGACAAACACTATTGGATTGATCTGTAAAAATAGCATTTCAATCAAATTAATGATGATGAATCTAATGAAATCCAAGCATGGTCTTACAAAATTTATTAAAGAATGTTCTTACTAGATAAATACTTTCTATATAAATATAAAAGCAATGGCACGTGACCCACTCTTGGTTAGCTTAACTGGTAGAACGAGCGTTCAAATATGTAGTTAAGGCGCATGGTCTCATATTTGAATTCCCCAACTTTTATTAGTCGATGTGCATGCTAGCTGACCGGACCGTATATCTAGCCTGGACATCCTTTGGAATGCAATGCTAATCACTTATAATGATTAGTCGTGGCCGAATATCCTGTTTAAAAAATAATAATAATAAATAGTAACGACATGTTAATAGTTAAGAAATTTGGTAAATAAATTACCAAAAGTAAATCATGGCATGTCGGCTGTCGGTACCGAGAAAAGTGGGCTTAAAAATAAGGAAAGCGACATTTTTAGATGGAATTGATATAAAAATTTATAAAGAAAAGGTGTAAGTAGAATAGAAAGTAGTATGAAACAAGATGACTCCTCGTGAATGAATCAACTCTCTAAATAGTATTATTCCATTCCATGCATCCAAAAGCAAATTTGATGCTCTCGTGATCTGGCTTAGATTCTTCAAAAATATTTAAAACTAGACAAAACCAAATCCCCCTTCCACCATGTTAATTAAACTACGTACCCCATTCTTCCCTTATTATCATATAGAACAGTGGATATAGTTAATATCTCTTTTGAAACTGGTAGCAAAGAAGATAAAAGTTCAATTATCATTGGATGGTCTGATGGTAAGAGACCAAAAAGAGATTTTATGAGTTTTTTAGTTCGAGTCTCCTAGGTACTAATAAGAATGATTAGTAAAATTTTTATCCTGTCGATGACAGTTTCAGGATCCTGATGAATTAATTGAGGTACGCACAAACTGGTGTAGATTAGAGGTGTCAACCGAGCCGAGCTGCTCGCTAGTCGGCTCGTTAAATACTCGAACTTGGCTCGATTATAATTGAGCTGAGCAGGCTCGAATAAGACTCAAATTAGGTACCGAGCCGAGTTCGAGTCTACCCCGGCTCGGCTCGATTCGGCTTGCGAGTCAATAGTGGCTCGTTTATAGTTTTTTCTGCAAAAAAAAAAAATAAAAGTTTTAGGTCTGTTTTGTAATTTGACAGTAAAAGTTTTAAAATATTGCAAATTAACCCAAATCTAAATTAAAGTTTTAGGATTTTATAATTTGTTGTGTAATACATTGTTGATGTGTTGATCCGGATGTGATTTGTGTTGATTCAGATATGATTTATGTTGATTTGGATGCAAATTTACCAAAAATTTGATCTGATTTGTATAAAACAAGATATGC